TTGAGGCAGGATCTCTCACTGACCTGGAATTTACCGAGTAGTTAAGCCATTATCTTTATAGCTAAAATTTCAGCTGATACTTTTGCTAGCTTTTAAAAGTTACTAGATTTAGTTTGAATTTTAAGTTTTTGAGTTAATTTAGGAAATGAGGTCAGGGCAGAGGATCTAGAGGGGGAGGCAATGTCAGAAGCAGAATCCACCTGACAACACTGTCCTCCATGTGCCTCTTGTCATACTGCCCAGGTTTGCCCTGGAGACAAGCCCCAGTGAGCACCTGTGTCTGTGGTCCTGAAGGCAAGAAAGGGATTTTGTCCCGAGATCTGGCTAGTTTCTTCTGAGAGCTGTAGATAACTATTGCCTCTTCTGTCGTGGGAGCTGGGGCACAGAACTCTGCCATTTTCTGTCTTATCCCTCATCTTTAATATGTAGACTAGATGCTTTTATCATTTAGGAAATAAAGCTTTGAACCTGAATTTTCTTCTCCCTGAACCATAGTTGTTAACTTAAAACTCAAACAGTTTGAGGGCTGGAGAGATAGCTCAGCAGTTAAGAGTATTGACTGCTCTTGCAGAACACTGAGGTTTGGTTCCCAGCACCCACATGGTGGCTACCAGCCTTCTAAAACTCCAGGTGTAGGGCATCTGACCTCAGTGATCACCATACATGCACATGATGCACATACATACCTGTACGCAAACACTCATATACATACAATAAAATATGTATGTATTAATATTTTATTTCATGTGTATGAGTGTATTACTTGCATGCATATAAGTGCACCCATGTCTTGCAGTGCCCACAGAAGAAGAGGGTGTCAAATCCCCTGGAACTGAAGTTGTTAGTTGCCATGTGGGTGCTGGGACTCAAACCCTGGTCCTTTAGAAGGGCAGTCTTGTGTGCTCTTAACTGCTGAGCCATCTCTCCAGCTCCCAAGTAAATTTTTTTTTAAATAAAGCACCTTTTTAATTATATAGCTGGAAGCAGCATTCTTCCATTTTAGTTAAGACCCAATAGTTTTAAACATTATTCTTATTTGGATTGTTTTATTTAGTGCATCTCCCCATTCCCTTTTCATAGAGTAATGAAACCAAATGGCATTGTGGCTTAGAAATAATTACTATTGTGGTCTTTAGCACCAAAGAATGCCTATAGAGAGTTGAAAAGATTACTTGAAAATGAGAAATGAAGGGCCAGTGAGATGGCTCATCAGGTAAAGGCTTGTTCCATACAAACCTGCTGACCCGAGTTTGATTCCTGGAACCCAAATAAAGTGCTCTACCAAGTTGTCCTCTGACCATCAGATGTGTGCTGTGACACACCTGACCATGCATACACACACACACACACACACACACACACACACACACACACACACAAAACAAAAACAAAGGTAAAAAAAGAAAGTACAAAGTTGAAAAAAGAAATTGAGATGTGAAAAGGAAATATTTTTTGTAAAAGGGAGGAGCAATAGCTTGGGGATAGTCTGAAAGAATGGAAACAGGCTTGTGAGTCTTAACAACAGTACCATTTTGTATTAGCTACTGAAAAGTTGCCTGGTAAAAAGAATTAGGGGCTAGTTATGCTACTGGGCTGTTTTGTCTACATTTGATGGTGACCACTTCTGTCTTCCCTTCTTCAGGGTATCATGTTGCCTATTAAAGTTGCCTTTCTGAGTACCCCTTTTGGGACCTTACAGGTCTAGAAGGGAAGTCATATAGTCAGACCGATTTTATATATTTCTTGGGTTCAAAGTTGTGTCCTTGTCTGAGTAACTGAATGTTTCAGGGAATTAAATGGAACTGGGCTGTATACATCTTATCAGTATGATGATAGGCTTTCATTTCTCCCATTTGGTTTAGTCTGACTGAGCTGCCCCAGAGGGTCAGATCAAGACCCCTTGTAATGAGAATATGGTACATATCTGGAGAGACTTATATCCCCTCTTTTCCTGACACAACACTGCCATCTGTCTTCAGAGTTCATTTAGTCAGTTATCCAGCAAGCTTACAGGCCTACAGCTGCTGCCAATATTCTAGGTGCTGAAGTACCTTATACAAGAGAAATAAGTCATTTTTTTACAGCCCACTGGGAGTTCAAGGTGCATATTTATAAAGCTTAAGTGATATTATCAGGCAGCATGTCATGTAGTGTTAGCAGTATTTACTCTTGGAGGCAGGAACTTTTCAGGTGTCTAATAAGTATATGTAATTAATTAATGGAAGCAGTCACTGGAGTAGTGAAGGGAAGGTTGGGGCTTGTGTCTAGTTTTGGAGAATAGTCAAAGTGACTGTGGTTGAGAGTGACTTAGACTGCTCAAAGAAGGTTCTGCATTCTATAGCTGGCTTGGTTTGATGGAAAGTTGCAGGTAAAGTACACTGAAGCAGAACACAGAGTGCTGTGTGTGTGCCCAGCTGTCCTCTGGAGATGGGGCTGTTGGAGCTGTCTGATTTGAATGACTGCTGAAGTTTGAGAGTTTATGCTTGGAAAAGGAGAGAAGAGCAGTAGTTTTAGGCTACAAAAATCTGGATTTGCCTCAAACTCTTAAGTGATCTACCATCCTCAGCCCTTTTAAGTGCTGGGATTATAGGAATTTACCTCCATGCTTGACTGGTTCCCTGTCCTTTCCCCTTTCTCTTTTCCTTTTCCTTTCCCTTTTCTTTTTTATTCTTTCCTTTCTTCTGTTGTTTCTTTCACTGTTTTGAGGTAGAATCTCATGAAGCTCAGGCAGGCCCTGAACTCACTATGTAGGCAAGGATGGCCTTGAACTTCTGGTCCTCCTGTCTCTACCTTCTGAGTGCTGGGATTCCAAGTATATGCTACCATTCCTGGTTTCTGTAGTCCTGGGGATTGAACCAAGAGCCTCATGCATGCTAGTAGGCAAGCACTCTGCCAACTGAGCTGTACTCCCTGCCTACTGTTGCTAATATAGTTGAGATGGCAAATAGCGCATCTCTCTAAGGACTGCCTGTAAGGAAAACATGATTATTGACCTGTGTATTAGATCATCTAGAAATTCAGAATTGAAAATATCTATAAATATTAGATTGTGACCAGAATTAAGCAAGTGGGTGACTTTGTCCTGGCCTTTGCCTTGGTACTTTTCTGCCCTAGTACTTTAACAGGGGACTTTGGTAACAGGAATACTTTAAGACATAGGAATAAATTAGCTGATCTAGGAGATTTAGAGTGTATAAAAATTGTGTACTTAGAAATCATGGAACAAGGAAGGAAATGTTCTATGTCTGTGCTGTCCAATTTGGTTGTCATTGGCCACTCATGGCTAGTGAGCACTTGAAATGTGATTGTTATGATTGAGAAACTGAAATTCAAAATTCACTTTAAGCAACACATATGACTATGGCTACTACATTGGACAGTGGAGCTCTAGAATAATGTTTATCAACATTAGGATCTGACTTGCAAGATTGTGCTCAAGGAGAATTAAAATAAAATGTGAAGGATTCAAAGTATCTAGTAGTGGGTCTGGCATATAGTATTATGCCTAATTAATAGTCCCTTTATCAACTTCCTGAAATTAGAGATGAGATTATGTAAGGGATAGTGTGTAAAGAACTGGCAGTAATTATAGGCAATAATTATGAACAAATTTTAATCTAACTTAATCTTCAGTGAGTTTAGTAATCATCAGGGTAAGATCCATTCTTTAACTAGAAGATTTTATTGCCTGCAAGCTTCTCAGAGAAACACTGTGGTTGTATTTTCACACTGGCAATAACATGGGAAGCAAACTCTTTAACACATTTTCTTTTTTTCTTAGCTTGAAGGATGCCAATGATCTACCAATCCAGTGTGAAATCTCTCCCCTCATCTCCTATGCTGGAGAAGTAAGTTTGTTTCACTTTTCCCCTGTTCTTTTACAAAGTATTGTGTATTTCCAAATATCTAAAAATGAGTTTTAAATGTTTTCACTACAAAGAAGTGATATATGAAGAGATGGACATGTTAATTAGCCCAGATGGATCATTACACAGTGTGCACATGCCCTGAGACAGCACCTTCTACCCTATAAATATATGCAGTTACTTAAAATTTTGTAAATAGTAGGAGTTTAATATTGCTTTAGGCTGCAGTAGATTTGTCTTTAGAGAAGATGCAATTGTTCGGGGTGGTCCTGCCCTGGAGAGCTCCCCAGGGAATGAGTGAGAAGCTGCATTTGTTTTGAATTCTTTTTTTTTTTTTAAATACTTTATTTATTATTTTTATTTTTTATGTGTATGAGTGTATTGCCTGCATGTATGTGAGTGCACCCATGTCATGCATTGCTGCAGAGGTCAGAAGAAGGCTTTGGAGTCTCCTGGAACTGGAGTTAAGGACGGTTTGTAGCCACCATGAAGGTGCTGGGAATTGAACCTAGGTCCTCTGCAAGAGCAGTCAGTTCTCTTAACTGCTGAGCCATCTCTCCAGCCCGTTTTAAATTCTTAAGAATTTGTCTTTCCTCTATCCTATAAGTGAGTTTGTTAGTTGCCAATAATAGAAGTCTCGCTTGCCTGTTAAAGTACAATAGGCTTTTAAAAATTAAATAATCAGCCTTGTTTGATAAATCATCCATCTCTTTGTAATGCAAAGTCAGTTTTCTTTCCAAGTGTGTATTTTACTCATATACTTTGCTGTTACCTTTATTTCATTTTAATTTTTATTGAGCTTTTAAAATTTCATACATTTCCTATTCAAATCTTTTAAAACCTGAGGATTTGAGGGTCCCTGCTTTTCTGGATATGTAATCTTTTTTATGGATATTTTTATGGTTTAGCTGTAGCACAGAGATAGTCATCTTTCTTAGAAAGTTTACTTTATTGCCTGATGATTATAGTGAGAATTATCATCTTATTAGCTTTAGAAATTGCATTGTAGTCACTTGGCTAGCATTTGCAAGGTTCTGAATTTTATTCCACTATTGGAAAACAAACAGACAAACCAAATACCAAACAACACAAACAGGAAAGAAAGAAGTTAGAATAACTGTTTTTGTATTTGTTTTATGCTTCTCTAAGTCAGTCATTAAACCTAGTCTACAAAGTATATCAAGTGGATATTTGACTTCTAAATTCTTCTAAACCCAACTTTTGACATTCATGCTTTAAATCTTCTTGCTAACATTGGGCTAACATTATGTGACAAGGACCCACGACTTTTCTAACTGTGATTCATTTCAATCCTTCTTTCAGGGACTAGAAAGTTATGTGGCAGATAAAGAATTCCATGCACCCTTAATTATTGATGAGAATGGAGTCCATGAGCTGGTGAAAAACGGCATATGAACCATAAACCAAGTTCTACCACAGTAGGGAATAGCTTTTATTTTTGATAGATTAACTGTGAACATACAGACTCTCTCCTGGAAGACTGAAGCTTGAACATTCACAGGGTATCATTTTGTTGCTGATCAACTCTATAGACTTCTCAGATCAGATGACTGGGCTTCAGATAACGTTTTATGATTCTCAACTCATTGAAGGTCTTATTTATATTTTTTAACTATATATTTTTTTTCCAAGCCAAGGAGAACATTGACCATCCAAGAAATTTCCTACAACTTGACTAGTTGGGATGTTCACCATGACTTGACTTGGAGCTGGAAACATTTGTTTTTGGAGTTGTACATAGTAATTATAAGTCATTGTACATGTAAGAAGGTTTCTATGGCACTAAAAAATTTGTTTTATTTTATCAAGCATTAAAGTTTTTTTAAGAAAATAACTGGACAGCAAAATAAAATTATCTTCTCATCTCTAGAGTGTTATCTGTATCTTGAGAAAATTGTTAGAAAAAATATGAAACCAAGAGACAATTGGAATAGTGCATAAAAACAAATGGATGCTTCTGTGAAGCTGCCGTCACAGAGCATTTGTTGACAAACTTGTAAATTTGGACTTCGTCTTCTATTAGTTTACAACTTCTCCACTAAAAATGGCCCCGCTCTCCCTGGCATGGGGCACTCAGCAGGGTCTGGAGGCATTTTTTGCTCATCCTGACTGGATGTTGGGCTGCTACTGCTAGCACTATGGAGTAGAGATGCAGTGCTTAGTGCCTGGGCTAGCTGCCTACAGGTCAGAACCATCTGGCCAACACGTCCATTGTCAAAGTTGAGATCATCAAGAGGAAACGTTGGAATGAGGTAGGAATCATTTGGCAGCAGCATAGAATTTATGAGTTAATAGTCACTTTGCATCCGTTCAAATCACAGTGGAGCTAATGGGTATGTCCATGACACTCCTGGAAGGTGAACCAAAGACTGCTTTCAATCCTGGCCTCTTTCTCCAAGTTTGGAGGTGTTTAATGATGACATTTCACTTCTTAATGACTCTACTTCCCCTGAAAGTTCCCTTCTCATATTTATGGTGGACAAAATACTTATTTTTCAGCAAATGATGTGTATGACTCAGACTGTGTTTTACATAGTAAATGTATACATGGGTGACATGCAGAGGATTGAAGTGAGACTTGTTAGATTTCCATTTAAAATTTGAAATGTTTCTAAATTTATATGTTTCTGAAAGATCTGAAATTTGTTGAACTAAATTTCATGAGTTTTTATAGTGTTAGAAAATGATAACTGTGGCCAACATCTGTTTATTCAGCCCTATTATTTTCCTATGAAATGGGAACTTTTATAATCTAGTCCGCAAGGAAATTGGGGCTTAGAGATTAAGTAAATTGCATAAGACTAAATACCTAGAAGGAAACAGAGCAGGAAGTGAAACCCAGAGACTCACTTTCAAACATGTACAGTAATAGAGAACAGAATAATCTTTATTACTCAGTTTCTAATAACTAGCATAGGCTGTTCCTGATTCATTTACTTCCCACTTTCTTACTCCCCACAGGATGACTTTAAAATAAATTCTACAATGCTTCAGTGTTTATATGAGAGGTAGAATTATATATATATAAAATGTGTATATCAGCAATATCTTTAATAATTAAAATAATTTTTAATGTTTACATTGACTTTCAGTCAGTGTTCATATTTTTCTATGTCTACTAAGGATAGAAGGGATAAGTCTGACCAGCAAAGGTCGAGTGTGCAAGACTTACATTTAATATCATACTTTGTGGTGAAAGACCATATTTTTTCCCCCTAAAATTGGGAAGAGTATGTTTATTTTCCCACTCCTGTTCAGCGTTACATAGAAGTTCTACAAGGGGATTTGAGGATATTATATATACATATATATGTATATATGTGAAGATATATGTATCATATATATATCTCCATTTTCCCCAAGCTTCATGTATGAAGAAGTAAACCTGTTTTTGTGGATAACATGACCATCAACTTGGAAAACCCTATGAAATCTACATGAGCATTATAAGGTTGTGTGATAAAAAAATTAATGTAGCAAAATCTATTGTATTTCTATATTCTAGCAATAAAGATTCAGACATTGAAATCTGAAAAATCATTATCTTTTATAATGTTAAACATAAAGTACTTAAAGGCAAATCTGACCTGTATGTAGAAGACCTAGTCATTGAAAACTATCAAATATTGCTGAGTGAAATTACAGAGAGGACCAAAAGATTCAGTGATGTCAGTTCTCACCAATTTGGTCTGCAGATTCAACTTAATCACAATCAGTATAGAAATAAACATATTCTAACAGAGAGAGAGAGAGAGAGAGAGAGAGAGAGAGAGAGAGAGAGAGAACATTTGAAAAAGAACAAAGTAGGAAAACATACCCAACTTCAAGACTTACAAAGCTACAGTAATCAATATAGAATAACAGTGATGACAAAGTAGACAAAGGATCATGGTGCAGGATAGAGAATCTGGAAAAACATCTGTATCCCAGTTGATTTTCAACAAAGTTACAGATGCATTTAAATGGAGAAAAAGTATTCTTTTCAACAAATGATGCTGGAACAGTCAGATTTCCATAGATAAAAGTGAAGCAGACTTTGCATAGTACATACAAAATGACTTGAAGCTGAATGTGGTTTCAGCGCTTGGGAGGTAGAGGCAGGAAGATCAGGAGTTTCAGGCGAGACTCAGCTACATAGTGAGGTCTCAGCCAGACTGAGATATAGGAAACCCTTTCTCAAACAGCAAAACTCACTACCGCCACCACTACCACCACTAACAAAATTACCATGAAGTGGATCATAGAATTGCATAGAATACATAGAATTCTCTAACAGTGATTAGAAAAACAATCTTAAAAATAGACAAAAGAATGTGGTAGACACTTTAGTGAAGGCGATAAAGTGAAAACAAATGAGAACACAAGATGCTTAGAATACATTGCATAAAATTCTCAAAGAACTAGGAAGACCAAAGAATATGGTTCCAGTGAAAAGTATACTGCATATATTTTCTGCTTTGTCTATATGTATATATAGTCTTTTAAAGTCAGGGTCTCTCTGTAACCCCAGCTGGCCTGGAACTCACTATGTCGACCAGGCTGGCCTAGATCTCACAGAGATCTGCCTGTCTCTACCTCCCCAGTGCTGGGATTAAAGGTGTGTGCCATTTTTAATGGATAGGTTTTATCAGTTATGCTTATGTGCATATTTTTTACTCTGGCCCATTATAGTATTATTGGAATCACAATTAAGAATTCAGTATTTAGGCAACTTGAGTCAGAAAATTAGAAACCTTCAAAATACCAATCAAAAACTTTCTTCTTGCTGGTTCTCATGGTAATTATACTCCAACTTTCTGATTTCTGTCATCATATTCCATTTTGGATTAATTATCCCGGTATTGCTCTCATCCTTGAGAATTGTGTCTAGAATTCCAACTTGAATATGAATTATATTACATGAAATCTTGGAGTACAATATTTACTAGCATTTAAAGAGAAATGACTAAAGTACAAAAAGAAAAATAACTGAACATCATTAGAAAAATGCAAATCAAAACATGGTGACAAGGTAACAGCACATCTGTTATAATGTGCAGAGCTAAGAAGCTAACCATACTAAACAATGGCAGGGATACGAAACTCCCGTAGGTTTTCAGTGCCAATATAAAATGGTATTGAATTGGTTACTTTTTCGTTGCTGTGATAAAACACTATGAGCTAGGCAGCTAGAAGGAAGAATTTATTTGACTTACACTTTAGCGGTTAGAGTCCGTAACTGCAGGGGAGGCACAGAGGCAGAGGAAGCCCAAGCAGAAAGTTGATAAATCACTTTTTTTTTTTTTTTGGTCTTTTTTAGATGGTCTCCCTGTAGCTCCAGCTGTCCTGGAACTCACTATGTAGACCAGCTGGCCTCGAACTCACAGAGATCCACCTGCCTCTGCCTCCTGAGTGCTGGGATTAAAGGTGTGCGCCACCCCGCCTGGCGATAAATCACATCTTAAAGCAGGCATGGGAAGCAGAGAGAGACAGAAAATCCAGCAAGTCTTAAGAACTCTTAGAGCCTGCCCCCAGTGATATGATGCACTTCCTCCAGCAAGACCAAACCTCCTAAAACCTCCCAAAATGACACCACCAACTGGGGACAAAATATCCAAATACTTGGAGCCTATGGGGGAGGGGGGACATTCTCATTCAGACCACCACAGGCATCACCATTGGACAGGCAGTTTTAAAGTTAAACATAAATTTAGCACATCACTTAGTAATGCATTGTGAGAAAGAAATCTGACACAAAACACATAGGACCAGATATGCAAGGAGTTAGGTATGAGGTAACCAAGGAAAATTGCTGCTGCCTTGAAGGTAGCTGTGTCTCCTGATTAAATAGGGCATTAGCAGTAAAAGAACCGTATATGCTGCAGCTGTACTTTCGGAAATGTCTACTGATGGTCAGAATGTTTTGTTGAACATCCTTGAAGTGTGCAGCTAGTTTTTGTCACTGTATGAGAAGCCCAGGTGGCAGGGGAATTCCCTAATCGCACAGGTGTGCACTGAAGGGTCTGTATCCTCAGGGGACCCTGCTTCATCATAGTATCACTTGCATTATGGTTTTTACCCTTTCTGTGTAGGCTTTTCAAGGAGGATCATAGGAAGAAATACCTTAGAAAGGGAGATCTGAGCTATCATGACTGGGGGCGAGGGAGAGGGTCACCTTACCCCCATGAATATAACCACCCACTTCACAAATATTCATACAGACTTAAAAGACTTCCACAACAGACTCCAATGGGCTGCTAATGGCCCTTTGTGTCAGTCTGCTCCAGTCTTTATCTGGGGCCTGCTCTCTCTTTGCTAAATAAACTTCTGCTTAAATTGTGTCTTGACTGAATTTCTTTTGCGAATGGAAGAGAAGCCATCAACTGGTAACAATTATTCCAAATACGTGATGATCAAGAACGGACAAAATGAATTTATGGTATAAAAAGTAGGACAGTAAAGTCTCATCGAAGGGTTATGAATTGAGTAAAGAGCACAAGGGAACTTGCTGGGCTTTATAAATATTCTATACTTTGACCAGTAATGGTCGTGGAGACATTTGGGGGGAAAAACCCTAAAACTACACATTTAAGATTTGTTTTTATTCTTTGAAGGTATACCCTAAGAAGAAAATAATTTTTTAACCCCTTGGGCATTTTGATGCTTTAAAGTACATTATAATTCATTGGTCAAAGATGGAATAGTTAATTAGCATTTGAGGTCATTGGGCTGTATTTAGATGAGTCTAATTGTTACAAGGAAAATTTCTCATATTCTCGCCCTTTATTATAGTCTCAGCAGGCATTCATCTATTGCTCATAAAGGGCATACCGAAGGCAGTGACTTGGGAGCCTGAATTTGGTATCAGAGGTCACAAGTAGAAGAAAGGGCCTGACAACACAAACTTCTATCCAACCCCATTCGTTAGTTTCTTAACTAGTGTGTGGTATATGGCAGAGTAGGGATTAAAATCCAAGTTGTCTGGCCCTGAAATCCTGCCACACATTCTGATCCAAGCAGCATTCTGAAAATGTTGAGTATGAGCTAGAGCTTTTGAAAGAGGAGCAGAAGCAAACAGTTGTGTTTTAAAAGATTTAAGCTATTAGTGTTGAAGAAGAAGTATAGAAATCAAGAAGGAAGAGACAGCAACTGTTTTCAGTGAATGTCAAGATCAACAGGTCAAGGAAAATGCAGGTTGGCAAGTAACTGCTTTGGCTTTCAGTGTCAAAGCAGGGAGAGTCATAGTATAGAGAAGAGAAGGCCAGATGATGCCAGGGGCCAGATGGGTGCAGCCAGGGCCACACTTGGGCTAGAATGAAGTGAGACACACGAGGTTATGCAATATCAGCCCAAGACCAGTTCTTCCTGAGTATGGATGATAATTTCCTTGTTATTGGGAAGGTGTTATGTGTGTGTGTGTGTGCGTAATAGAAGAGCAGTTATGGGAATAGTTAATCAGCATTTGAGGCAATTGGGCTGTATTTAGATGAGCCTAATTGTTACAGGGAAAAGTTCTCATATTCTTGCCCTTTATTATAGTCTCACCAGGCACTCATCTATTGCTTATAAAGGGCATACCGAGGCAGCGACTTGGGAGCCTGAATTTGGTATTAGAACGTCACAAGTAAAAGAAAGGGCCTGGAAACATGAAATTCTACCCAACTCCATTCATTGAGCTACTGGGAAATGGGATAGAAATACTGATAACTTGCATTTAGAAGCTGAGAAGACCCACAGCCTACAGTTTGTGTGTTGGGTTGTGCAGGTGGAAGCTGAAATTCAGCTCTTGCAGAGGAGACACTCAAAAGACTGCCATGCTTACTGGCTGATTCTCAAGTCAAAGATAATTAAATGGAGACGCAATTAAAGGCTCTTTAAATGAGCAGTTATTAGTCAAAAGCTATTTTTGCTTCACTTAGATCCAAATTTTGTTTACTTTCTGACAGTGTCATTTTAACAGGCATTTCCAGGTTCTAGGCAATGTGGCTAAGGATAGCTGTGGATGTAGCTCAGCACAAAACTATACTTAAAACATGGTATTTTTTGTTGTTGTTGTATCTTGATTGTTCATTCTTAAGTGTGAATTTCATAAATGACAACATGTCACAATGTTAAAAGACTGAATAAACCTACTCTCTAGGGGCTTTTTTTTTTTTTTTTTTTTTTCCTGGAATTATCTGGAATTCTCTTGAATGTAGCTGCTGACTTTGTCCCCATGACTTGTACTACCTTAATTTGCCAAACTGTCAAGCAGACTGGTGTAAAAAACGGATTGAGCCGGGCGTGGTGGTGCATGCCTTTACAGCACTCAGGAGGCAGAGGCAGGTGGATCTCTGTGAGCTCGAGGCCAGACTGGTCTACATAGTGAGTTCCAGGACAGCTGGAGCTACAGGGAGACCATCTCAAAAAGACCAAAAAAAAAAAAAAAAAAAAAAAAGGCTTGAGGTTAACAAATATGAGAGTATCACACCTG